CAGGTTATGAATTGTTGCTCATCAATTTTATTCCACGTTTACCCCTAAATTTATACAATTGTTATCACCGTGTTTTGACTTGATTTCTAAGTAAACAGTTTCTATTAGGATACGACAAGAAATAGTTTTTGAATATCGCTTCTTTTTCAGACCTTAGACGACAGCTGAAAAATTTATCTTCACTGGTGATAAACCTTCACTGGTGTCAGGTGGTGTTCCGGAACAGAATGGCAAACCTGTTTTTTATTTCAAGACATTTAGATAAAAAGAAAAATAAGTATGTCTTTATACCAAAACGACTGCACAAATATTTGTTCGGTGTAAAATTCTTTATTATAACTGTTCACCAGACGTTTATTTACCATCTAACCAAGTCACTGCATCAGTCAACTACTGTCTTGGTCCAGAGATAGAATTAAAATTTAACTGCCCATGGTTTTATCATTGGGCACCGAGGGGCCAAATGCATGTCGCATGCATATTCGATATCACGCTAACCACATTTTATAAGGTCATCTAACGAAAGTGATTGTATGTTGTTTTTACCATTATCTGTTGATATTAAAGAGCTTCTGAGGGATACTCGTAAATATTTTGAGGCTGTCACAAGTGCAGTGAAATGTGGTTAAAATATTCAGTGCAAGCGTGCGTTTCCTGAGTTTTACAGAACCATGGAGAACATATTGGTACATCGAGAAAGATTTTTGTGCTTCCATTGTAGAATAACCATTTGCCTTACATTCATATCTGCAATGTTAAATGATCTTCATATAAGTGGAAGACTGAAAAACTGTTCTGACTGTTTGCATGTTCTATCGTATAATAAACTAACTTGGAATCCTTGGCCTACATCTTATGAATCATAGGAACGTATTCACGTGGATTACTGTCTAATGTTTAAACTCATATTAAAATTTAGTTATTACTGATTCATATTCTAAATGGCTAGAAGTGGTACTCACGAACAATACTAGCGGATAATTCATTCAAAGAGCAATGAGGAAGATATTTATTCGTGAAGGAAAAACCAGTGCATCAGTAACGCATAATGGAACCCACGTAACAGAAAGAGTTCGACATCCAGCTTACTGATATTGCATGCCAACATTTAATTACAGCTCCACGAGATCTTCAGTCGAATTCTAACGATGCCCTTGTTAATGAATCTCTAGAGAGTCCTGAATTTCAGATTGACGAAAAGAATCGGAATGCTAAACACCTAAGAAATGCTAGTGGAATTGAAGTAGACCCAAATAATATTACGGAGACAAACGAACAACCAACGTGTGGCAGATATGGTGTATAATCAATACATTTACAGTACAGTGCAATATTTGATGTTGTTTTTGAACCTATCAAGAAGATACGATACAATTCCACATTGAGTGCTTCGAATTTGAGTACTTGGTTGTGTCTTATCGATGTTCGCCATATTACTTCGAATTCGTACAAAACTTAACGTGAAACGAGGTTTTGAGTCATCACTCAGAATTGTAATTGAAAACTAGAAGTTTACTTCTAAACCAATCACATATGATAGGTAAACTCTGGAAGGAGTAAAATCTTTCACATACCTGCACGGCATTATTTAAAAACAAGGAGGCTTCGGCGCAGACATAAAAGCAAGGGTTCTCAAAGCAAGGATAGCATCCCTACAGTTGAAGAACACACAGAACTCAAAATAACTATCAGCTAATATCAAAGTCGGGATCTTCAACAAGAACGTTGATACAGTCCTACTGTACAGAGCCGAAACTTGAAGAACTGTCACAATCATCATCAAAAAGGTATAAATACCTATAAGCAGTTGACTGTGAAGATACTAAATGTCTGTTGGCCGGAAACCATCAGCAACAACCTACTGTGGGAGAGAACAAATCAGGCTCCAGTTGAGGAGGAAATTAGGAAAAGACAATGGAGGTAGACAGGAGATACACTGAGGAAATCACCAACCTGCATCACGAAGCAAATTTAAACTTGGAATCGTGAAGGGAAACGGAAAAGAGGAAGACCGAAAATAACACCACGTCTGGAATCGGAAGCAAACATGAAAAGGATTGCCCAGGACAGAGTTGGATGGAGAATACCGGTTAGAGGCTTATGCTCCCTTAGGAGGAGTAAAAAGCGTCAGTCAGTAAGTAATTATGGTGTTTGTTTGTGTTTCATCTTTTCCATCCATAATTACTCAACATTTTTGTCTCAAAAGGTGTCACGAACCACAATAGCTCTGCTATTAGGCAGATCCTGGCGAAGGCCTGGTAACCACGTAATTCCCCATATCTTACAGCCTTTCAGTCGTAATAACTGCGCCTGATGAGTGATTAGAATTACCACCAATAATAGGATCATTGTCATTAATCCCCGTGTACCCAATTCGACGCTTGACATCTCCATTTTACTGATATTCCAATAGTTTGTTAATGTATGTTGTTAGTTTACTTCTGACAACTGTCTTCTCTCTGATCCTTCGCGCCCAGGTTTAGTAATTTTTACATTGAAACCAACAAATCTTTCCTCCGAAAACGTGGTATTTGATGGTTTCAGAAAAATTACGAACCTGATAAATCACTAATATCCAAGATATCCAACAGCTATGTGTGACAGCTTTAATGGATGAAATACGAGAGCAGAAGTTCACAATAAAAAGATGTTGATATATGTTTGAACAAATGTCAATGTATCAGGGTATATGCGATCTAAGATGATTACGTGTCGTAGAAGTTGCGCAGCACGGATTACCATAACGCCTCTGTTGCTGATGCTACAACAGTAAAGCTATCAAATTCATCATCAGTGGCCTTCAAAGATTTTTATCTTGGGAATTCACTTAGTTACATCCCACAGTAACACGAAGTAGCGATCTCACAGAAGTTAGCTGGTGTGTATTAGTTTTCCATAAAAATACCGGATTTACAGGATACTATATCCCGTTGCTGGACTGTAAAAAGCTCTCGTGGGACAACTGAATAACCCCCCTTTACTGGGAAAGCGCAATCGTTTCAAGGGTTAACACTAAGAAATTCGTTTTTACGAATCCCGAAGATGCGCAATATTAGAAGTATGCGCTACTAATCCTCGTGTAGTATGAGTGGTTGATTACATTTTTGTTTCCATCAGCAGTATATTATATCTACATTGATTTGCTTAATTACAATTTATATTTGTATTTGATATGGTAGATGTAAGTTTGAACATCTCAGATTGTTTAGTATATATGGGAACTAGATGTTCTGAAATATTGGTTTGTTGTTAGTATTACGTTTGCCATATAATTAAAAATAACTGCTATCATAATTGCAGCCCTTTCCGTAACACTGCATTATTTTTCCAGCAGAGGTGTACAACTTTGTAAGCTCCAAGATTATGAAAAATACTAGCCTACTGTTAACTAGTATTAATTAACTTTTGCTTCTAAACAAAGCACCGTTTATTAACTCATAATTCAGAATTCTGCAGATTGTAGACGGGGTGGTTAGTTTACCTAAGTTTTGCATGTATTTTCAAAACCAAGGTTAGTATTAATCCCAATAAATCTGTGTGTTCGTATGGTGCATAACACGGTTATTAGTTGACTCGGTCGGCGCTAAGGTGGTTGGTGTCTTAGGTTTGTTTATTCCCGGCTTAATCCAACTGCCATTATTTTAACGTGCCATGACACTTTGTGGTCTTTCATGCTTGCGTTGGTGCTTAATTATAAGCAGAGAGCTATCACAGAAACTTAAGAGTTTATATCCACGGACTACATGTGAAGTTTTGGACATAACACTCACTTTGCTAGTTTTAGAGATCGTTTCTAAAACATAGTGTTAACAACCTTTCTGATACAAACTTACGCCTGCTACCCTTCGTGGAGAAGCATAGGCCTCCCACCATCATTTTATATTGAACTGTGTCCTGGGCGGTTTCTGGTAGAAAAAAGTCTCCGCATACTTTTGTAGGCTTGTAATCAGTCATAAATTCCAACTCACCTTTTAGGACTGCCAATCGTTTTCTAAGGTGAGAATTCGAGATTATTTTTAGCCAATTATGGGATTTATGCTATTTGGTCGCAGCTGTATGAATTCTGCCGAATTTGTATGTGAAGCTACCTCAGGATTAAGACTTTGTAATAATGTTTGATCATAGTTGACTCCAATACTATAGTCTCGAGTCGCGTGCACTAATTTCAAGTATGGGTGTTGGGGCTAAAAGAAGTTTGCTACAAGAACTATGAAAGAGTAGTTTGGATGATGAGAAGGTCTAATAATTACCGTGGTAGAATCGATAGCTGTTGAAAGCGCATAATTGATGGTCACTTTCCGAGTATCCGCACATTAAGATGTTTTTATTGGTGGGCTCAACAAGAAGACAGATTACTGTTAACAGTTGTGGTAACTTGAGATACTTAAAACTTTATGAGGTATGGGTCAAAAAGGATATGGTTACTATTCTGCTATAGTCTTGTATTGTATGAACAGCAGAATGTTACTTTAAAAGAAACGAAACCGGTCTCTGTTGTTTTGGAGTTTGAAATATATCTTCCCTTAGTTCTTATACGTCTTTGTAATGCCCTTCCTCTATCCTGCCTCATAACAAAATTATCTTTCATTGTTTGGTGCGTGTCTTGGCCTATCTTATATACCTTTTTTGGAGGGATAAACGGCTAGAGATTGGCCACCGATTACGTGTATATGCGTAACTTGTTTTGCAATGTAATTGTACAAAGTTGAACATTTAGAGGTGCATGAAAACAATCACAGGCTCGTATTGTATATGGGTAGTTCTGTTCATTGAAATAGATTTTATTTATTGGCAACCGTTAAAAGTGCCGGGACATGACTTCACTTGTAACGAATGTCTTACTGAAACCTTTCACTGATTATCTTCATATTCTATATTTGTGGATGAAATAACTGAATTAATTTTCATAAAATTTCGTCTGAGATGGATAATTTATTTTATTGATACTTTTCATTTAAAGGCTTTGATATCTTTATGACCGTGATAATCTATAATATAATATGGATGCAACAGTTTTTACTCCAATAAATGGTTAGTTATTAAGCTTTTTAACTTTTCATATAAACTAGCATCTTCCTTTTCGCGTCATTTTTCTATACCTTATGAACAAGTAAAAGATCAACGATGTCCGGAAGTAACTATTGCTGTAGTAAGTAAATAATCACATGAAAGCAGTATGTTTTTCAGAATCCGCATATAGGATGGTATAAATCAAGTGCTGACCGTAAAATGTTTCCGTTTCTCAGTACAAAGAATGTTAGTAAGCTTATCAATGTGTATAACAGTTACTGACTAATTTTAGCCAATCGAACCAGATATCAAAGCAGAGGATTGTATTTTATACAAGATGGTAACAAATTATGAGGTGGTTATCTCTTCCACAAGAAGTGTATTCTATTCATAAATCTAGGATGTATTTTATTGCCGTCGTACACCTGAAAACGAATCAATACGTCTGTTGTACTGTTCTCATGCTTTAAATCATTCGCTTAGGTAAGTCATTCTTCTGGGTAGAAATGGAAAAAATTCGTTAATATAGGTGTCAAACGCTTGTATCGAAGAATAATGAAAAAGAAAAACAATTTGGTGCATCTGAGTGAGTTATGCATCTACTTGTACTTCATAAAATATTTATCATTGTATATCAATTTAAACTTCAATTACTTTGTATTCATATAATCTTTGTATACACATTTTTGTGCATTATGTGAGATGAGTAAATTAATTCTGTTCATCTTGTCACTTCGGGCAACATATATGCTAGGATATATGTATCCTACAAACAAGTATAATATTACGAAAACAGAACGGGAGAGTGTAACAATAGTGAGAATGATCAGTACAATCATTTACGAGGGAATCGAAAACCTCTGATTGTTCGTCACAGCCGTTGAGAATGACAGAGCTACTGATATCCCACTGACTGTTTTGCCAAATATTTTACCATCTCATGTTACTTAATTCCAGAGAATTTGGAACCTCATTTTGTTATATCCTAACGAAGATTAAATCATGAGTAACTTCTGAGACATGTTAATTGACCAATATTATCTATATATTCTTATGGTATAACTATTCAGTAATTAGATTGTGTATATTTATATTCATCTTATTATAAGCTTCGTTTTGAACAATAGATTATTATTTTACGGTTTACCGTTCTTAAGTTATACTCAGTTTATTGATTACAGTTTCCCACGTTCACAGCCACTTTTGTTCAAATGTCATTTCCTATTTTATGGTGTGTTGTGGTCTGTTTGGTTGATATATAAACCCAGTATGTCTGAAATAAGTGATTCGCATAGTGGAAGCTGTATTGGTGTTCTGGAATCAACTAGACGGGCTAGGCGGACAGGGCCAATAAGGACGCTAGGTTGCTCATACCGGTCAAACGTCGTTGGTTTAGCACAGTGTGAAAATTGTATAGTCGTATTTTGATTGGTGGATAAATCACGTAATAACTAGCGGGCCATAAACACATAACACATTTATTAAGCCTTAGTGCATAAACAGACAATAACCAAACGTGCTATTATTTAATCCTACAGAGCTAGTTCATAAACTGGACACAATCCCTGGGAGGCAGCAAATAATTATCAACATAGTAACCCCTCAGATAGCTACCCGAGGGAGTGATTTAATCGTCAACAAGTTGCGGTTACAAATGTCGTCCCAAAGAATTCTACTTCGTGCATTACTTGCCGACGCTGCGAATGGTTGGAAAAAGTGGAGTTGTGGTCAGAGTATGACATGGTGTCGTGGCATGAAAGAAAGCTCCAAAGTGCTGTCTTGTGTCGGCCCTTCACGACTCCTTGGCTGGGGTCCGAGAGATGGTGCAACACAGTGGCTAGAGACGTTATCAGATATGGCTCAGAATAAAAGCCAGTGGCAATCCTTCTGTAACCTTCTTTTACTTTCTACATAAAAGCGTTTGTATCTTCCTTAACTGAAAGATTTCTTCTGGTTGCACCATTCCGTTTCCCCCATTATTATTATTATTATTATTATTATTATTATTATTATTATTATTATTATTATTATTACACTACCTTACACTAATCTGGTCGTTTTTGTTCTGTTTTTATGCTCCTTACCTTCTTTTTTCCCTTCCCATTCTCATTGTTTTGTGTGGCGCATATATATTTGGTGCCCTCTTGTACCAATATTTATGTGTTCAAATGAATGAATAAATAATAATCCAAATTATAACTCATCCCTTTACAAATACTCGGATATGTTCAACCAGTTGTTTATTATGCTATTTGATGGTCGATTCTGAAGTACAAAAATCTTACCTACTTTTGAACTGTCTCAGGGCTGCTTAAAAATATGTTTATCATTAATACTGTGAGAGAAAATATAAAGAAACCTGCTCTATTTTTATCTGATCAATCCATGCGTATTAAAATGTTTCTGAAATTCACACTTCTCGATTACAAATGTGATTGTTCTAAACAATCAAAGTGAGTGTAAACGAACTAGATCATAATTTGTCGTGCCCATCAAAACGCAGAACAATAACTCAGGAGAGTATGACCTCCATCAATGTAAATTACTCTATTTAAGACTACTTTATTCTCAATTCTTTGTTGCATATTAAATATCCAGTGTTTATTCATCATTCCTCTCAATTTTTTCTGTTCTATTTAAAATCTATTTCTAGTTCTTTACGAGATCAAGGATTTCACCGGGCACGTACTCTTATTTTAGCACCAACTAAAGAAGCGGCTAGGCGAATAGTTCATACATTTTTCCATTTAATGCCTAAAGGCTCCACAGTAAGTCACCGACGTCGTTTTGAACGAGATTTTGGTCCACAACCTGGAGATACTGACAAAGAGAAGAAAAAGGGTAGAAAACCTAAAGATTATGAAGAATGGTTCAGTGGCAAGTTTCTGTTAAATAATTTTCGTCTCATTTTCGTAAATACGAAGCTATCAGCATTTGAATGAAATTGGGAAATTATGACGATTGACCTTTAGACTAATCATTTAAGGATCTATTTATCCTGTGACTCAGTTATATTTTGAGTATGTTTTAGACAGTGTTGATCGTTGGCCAAATTTGAAATAAACGCACTTCTAAGTTCTTCCGAAATTTGATCCTATCTTATGACTTTACGGCACTTTGAAAAATACATCCAAATAAAGAAGTCTGTTTCATTACAGATGCTTTGTAGTACCGGGTAAAATTTTTAAAACTAGACTTCACCTATGAGCATCAAACAAATAAAATAACCATTCAAAAAACAATAATATGTTCTGAAAATGTTTACAGAATGCATACCGAACCACAGGCGTAGTTAGGTCGATCCAAGTAGTAATGCTACATAGAAAACACATATATGATTTTTGGTTGTTCGAAGTGTTATAGTTCAAAAATTGTCCATGAAGTACATTTTTTACATGGATTACAACAATGTGAGGCATTATTTGGGAATTATTACGTTAATTCCTTCATTAACCGATCCAGCTACTCTTATTACTTGGTATTTTTCGGACACCACTCAACTAGTGCCCACATTAGAACACGGTTGATCAGGAATGGAATCACATTCCAAATGAACAAAGTTGTTTGGGAGTAGTAGTTACAACACGAAAACTGTTTTCGGATCTATAATTTGTACATAGGAATATTCTAGAATCTTCACGCATCTTCTGGCGCTGATTGCCTAAAGATGGGTCAGTTAGCGTGCTCTAACATCATCCTGCATGGAACATGCATCACTCCAATCTATGACTTACTAACACATTAATTCTTTGTAAGGGGACTAGGACATCCCATTGTTACATAAACAGTGTATCCAAGTTCGTTTCCAGTACCATTACAAAGTAATTATAATCATCTACAATTAGAGAAAATAAAACGGAAACAGAAGGCACAGGACAACAACAGGAATAATTACTTTGGTAGCTCTACCGTTACACATGTGCCAAGTTGTTTTATGATCTACTGTTCGGGATAAATACTCCTTAAATTAGTTAAATTTTCCAGGGACGAAGTGTAAAATATGAACAGGAATCGAAATTTAATGAATGGACTTCGTAATAATAATGATTGAACATTTAATGTTCGTATAATTTCACTAGTGGAATGTGATATATTTCAAGGTGTAAACTTACTTAAGTCAATTCCAGAAAAGTAACCATCGATACAATGAAAAAATAATGGGAGTGATTTTGTTTCATGAACATTTTGCGTCAAATTGTTCCAGTGTTTCGAAAATTTACTGGTGAAGTAATTCTTATAGAGAGAAGATATCAAATAAGACTGATCCACTAATGTTAACATGTTATGGATGCTATAACTAGGTGTCTTTGCCTATTAGACTGTCATCAGGTGTAAGGTAAATGACAGAAGTAACAGTGATGTAAGGTTGGATTTATAGAGTATTGATTTTCCTTTAAGGACCTGAAGTTAATTAAATACATATAGATAATTGTGCAGAGATACCCACAGTCTAAATTGTAAATATTTCCCATCTCATGTAGATTGAATACAGGCAATTCTGCTATACAAACGTGTTGAGTTCACGAATATCCTTTGCATGTCAGTTCTTAAAAAAATTTGCCATGTAAAAGCCTTTAGTAAATCTACTCTTTAAAATTATCATACATGTGATATCTTTTCATCATATTAAGTACAATTTTCAGCTACTTTTTCCTGTTCTCACTATTACTTAAGACAAGGAGTGAGTAGCATTACAAGTCGTTGTACCTTTAACTAAATTCTGCATAAAAAGTCGCTGTTTGTTACATGTTCCTAAGTGAGTAGTCGCCTTAAGTCTTTGAAAAGTCTTTGAAGTAAAATATTATCATCTGAATGTTTTGTTTCATCATCAGCTATAAATCAACCGAATTTCATATTATTTGTGGAAATGAGATTTTAATATTTTAAAACTGAATCATACAAAACATTTTGTAAAATTAACATCTATTCTACATTGCATTACGTTTGACCATAGATATTCTACAATAACATTGGGTAATGTTTTACGCAATTGGATAATCCTATCGTGGTTTGTACTACTTGTACAGACAGTTATAAGTAGTATGTAACAGAAATTGAAAATAGAATTCTTATAAACAGAGGAGGAAAATAAGAAGAGAAAGGGAAACAGAAAGCAATCCAAATAACAACAGGAATGGAAGGTACAACTCAAGGAAAACAGGGAAATAGTGCATTTAATGTATTGATTTCATATTTTACAAAGTGTATAAGTTTGCATAATACAGTAAATTGATTTACTATCCAGGACTTCGTTCATCACACTACTATCGTAAAAAGTCATTAGGTATATAAATAATGTAGGCAGAAGTGAATTTGCAACTGAATGTTTTTCATTGTAGATTATGTAACTTTTGATTACTTCACACGTTTTTTTCAAAATAATTTGCTAGGTAATTCAAGTGACAATTTTCGTATTGGTATTGCATTTTCTAAAAAGTCTGTAAAGTTGTATTCTGCATTCCGTGATTCCGATATAATTCTAGCTTCTCCTTTGGGAATTAAAACTGTTATCGATGACGAAGTGTAAGGATTTTTTCTGTTGTATTGGTTTATGTTATCCCTCAATAGTTTATTTTGTGTGTGTATGATATAGTGCTTGTTGTATTTCAAGCACCTACGTAACTTATCTTTTATTCAGTTAGACCATTCAGTGTACTTCCCATATCCTTCTTAAGTATGTTCTGATGATACCCATAAATACGATGAAAAATTCAGTTTTTTGCTACATTGATTAGAGAACACAAAGGCTTTAAAATCATCTTCAAAGCATATTAATCTTCTCCACTACTCTTGACTTTTCTGAAATGGATGTCAATTTTCGCTTTGTGTCATACTACATTGTCTTTTGAATTCATAATGAGATGAGAGGTTTTGATCTCGGTCGTTATCTGGTCTTTAAGAATCATGGAAATGTTATAAAATGTGTTCTTCATGTTAATCACTAGGAATATTGTTAACAAGTTAAAGTTTTATAAATGCTTAGTCCTGAAGTCGAATCCACATCAGTTAGTTTGAATCCCCTTTAACAGTTATCTCTTCACTCTTAGACTAGTTAATTCGACTAAAGTCAAGATTAAATATGGAGGGAAAGTGGCATTATTGAATGGTATATAAATTGAAAGCAATTGCAGTTGTACCTTATTGACATAATCAATTTATGTTCACAATATCAGATGAAACGTACAAAACTATGTATTATGAATATCCAGCATACTCATCACCAAAATACTACCTAGCCTGCGTTCTTTGTATCTGATACTTGAAGCAATGAAGTTATAATCTAATCAGCTCCTGATGATATAAGTGTACATGTAACTACCGCTCTTCCTAAAGTATCTATACAGGATCCTGCTTATAAACGTTAAGTATTTACAAGCGCTTTATAATCAGTTCATTCTAGTGGACAGGAAGTACAGTAGTATCCGTTATTTCCTTCAGATCATTTCGCAATCTCTAAACATGGAATGTAATATCTGGTAATGACAGCATGAGCTGAATCTAAAAACTTTCAACTACTTCAAATTATTTGAGTCACTTATGGTGAAATGGTAATCTAATGTTAGTAAAACTACTAACAATCTTTAAAGGTTACTAAAACACTGAGCATGTATCTTCAAAATAAGAATATTTTGTGCTATTGTTTCAATGAAGTATGAAACCTTTGTGAGTGACTAGACCTAGATTAAATGAACTTATGTTAGTCGTTTGCGCTGGTTATGGTTTATTTCTATATAAATGTAGTTTCAGTGATGCGATCGGAACCACTTGATACTCTTGACACTGTTTACACTACAGTTGAAAGGCGATTACTAAGCAAATGGTAACATGATCCTGAGTGCAACATTTTTTATAGATGGTATTGATTTTAGTTTTGTCTCATATCATGTGATGATCGTTTTTGTAACTTGTTTTGTTTGAACCTAACACAATAAACACATGAGAATTCTCAAATATTGAGATAAAAGTTTAAATCTATTAAATTTCTATATCTATCTGAGCACTTGGACAATATAATTCTTTCTCTGCACAGCAAATTTACTCTACAGTGTGCAATACAACGATATAACTGATCATTGAGTTAGGTTGATTTTTCCGTTCACTGTTTGAATGTACAACCATATCTTGAGTAATTCATTTATTGTGTTCGTAGTTACTTATCACATTTTATGATCCCGTCACTACCTAGAACTCCTTAACTTCTTTAACAGTAAACTACTTAGTACTCAGTTATAGTTATAGCTAGAAACTTTTCATTTGTTATCGTTTCCTTGTTTGTATGTTTACCAATTTACACATATTCCATAATATTAGAGAGAAAGAAGCTGATGTTCAATATATCATAGCATCTATCGAATTGTTGATTATCGATCAAGCTGAAATGTTATTAATGCAAAATTGGGCTACTGTACAACAGATTGTCTCTTTACTCAATCAACGTCCAACTGTTCCTGTGTTTGCATCAGCTGCACGTATTCGATTATGTTACTTAGCTGGTTATGGTAAACGTTATCGTCAAACTCTACTATTCTCTGCCGTATCAAATTTTTTGATCACATTATTATCAGGTGAATGTGAAAGTAAGTTTATTCAACCAAAAAACAATCAAGAAATATAATTATCAATGCTAAAATATAATCGATTAATTTTCATTATGAAATGATAGATCATCGTCATGATCATCATAAATGTTGATGTGTTAAAGTCTGGTCAAAAAATCTGTTCCGAATATATTTAGAATAATCAGTATGGAGTTGGAGAGATTACTAGGTTTTATTGGGATCTCAAGAACTGATCTAAGTTAGACAACCATTGAAAACCATAAAGCACTGGACGGCACTGTTGATTAGTTCCATACTACGATGAAATTGCCATCCAGTGCATCCAAGTTTTCAATGTTTGTTTAATTTAGATTGACCCATGATCTTCATAAAATAGAATAACGATATGATTATAAATGTTAAAATATGATTGATAGATTTACAAATTGGGTTTTCTTTTTACAAAAATTGGTTCCAGTACATATATGTGAATAAGAAATGCATGTTGTGGAACAGTAATGGTTCACGAGATAATATATTCAATAAGTGTGTCAATCATGTTCTCTCCACATACACAACTACCACTACCCTTTCCTTAGTTAAATTTTTGTAATTAGTCATTCAGAATTAAAAATGCTCTTAAAATTAAGGTACGAGTATGTACTGTGTATCATGTATTGGATACGCTTATGTAAGGTAAATTATAGACCATTTTTTAAAATCGTCATATATCTTATACAGGATTTTTCACACTTATCTGTATTTTTGTTGTGAATTGAGTTCGAAGAGGAACTTTTAGGAAACTTTGACTAATACTATGACTATATATGGATAAACAGTAACTTTAAGATTCTCCAACGACAGTTATACTGTTCCATGAACTTAGATCTTCCTCGATAATGCATTCTTTCTTCTGAGTTATATTTGATTCTAAATTGATAGTTTGTGAGTGATTTTCAAATTTTTAACTCATTTAGAAGCGTTTCTATAAGTTACATCTACGATTCTATTATTAAGTGAATTCATAATAGTTTCTATGCATCCATAGTGAATTGATCGAACTCATTCCCATCGTCAACGTTATGAATTAAGATTTAATAATTTGATGAATGAATTTTTCTTTGTGTTAGAATGAATGCAAAGAACACTTATTCATAGATAAAATGGAATAGCCGAGAAATGATAAAGTTGGCCGATTGATCAGAAATTAGAGACATCATCAATAAATAGTTCTTTTATCTGATATATGCTTATCCACAAAATATGGAATACAAGAATAAACACGATGAAATGTCATAGGGGATTAGTTTGTAGATCACACTTAATCTCTAGTCAATTAAGACTTGATTCTTGGGCATTTTATCAATTTTAGAGGTTTTCTTTTATTCTCATTGAATTTTAGATTTTCAAGGCATGAATTATATACCGCCATTATCACACTACCCTGATTTGTATCCAACATTTTTACCCGATTGGGTACGTGTTCCTGGACTGAAAGCATCTATTCGAACTGGACAGAAACGTCAACATTCAGATATGAATCCTATAAAGGAAGAAGATAAATCATTAACAAATTATAACTTCAAGTTACATTTAATTTCATTTGTAGTTCCTGGACAAATTTCTGTTAAATCATCTTGTACAAAATTGCTTAGTAAAAATAATCAATCAGATTCAGACGATGAGATAGAAATATCACCTAAGACGACAACTGATAATTCTCTTCATTGCCTTTCGAATTCCTTAAAAATAGATTCGTCAACAAATTCACTATTATTATCTACTAAAACACTTGGATTCACTGATTACGCATATTTATGTAAGTTGTCGTTTGGAATGTTAAGTTAATTATCATCTTATTATTGGTAGTATCAGTTAGAAAATTGAAAAAACTCAATAAGATTGGACTATGATCTCGTATAAGTGGTGTAGCTCACCATTTCATTTTCAGTGTTCATTGTTAAATGACTGAACTAAACAAACTAATGTAGTTTGTCCTGAAAAGACTATAATCTTATTAGAATATTGATGTGTTCTCATCTATGCCATTAAGTTCACATTATTCTTGTTAATTGTATTCATCACACACGCGATCGATATACTACTCGAATCCCCACATACTCATACCCTCTAATCAGAACATCAGAAAGCTAATTAATTGTTCATAAGTACCTTTAATTATTATTTATACATATTACTCACATGTTTATATGAATCAACTATAATACTCTAGTTAATAGATCTCTTATAGGTAAATATAACTGAAATATTTATGATACAAAGTTGAGTAAAAGTCTTATAGTTAGTTGATTACAATGAGTATGAACGGTAATACTACGATGACAAATAATCGATTAAAAAGTAGCTTATTAATTACTACTATATAAAAAGTACCATAAGACGACTAGTAAACGTACATGTTAATTTTTTTAGAAGAATGGAAACCCAAATTTCTGATTTCCCTTTCTTTCATTCAATATTCATGGTTGCGTTTTTTTACATCACCTCATATAGTTCAATGTAAGACTTTTATGATAAGCTTTGGGTTTTAATGGCTGTTTTTGTTCATATATTTACATAATCTTTATTTCTCTCTTCTGTATTACATTTTTTACTCAGCAGGACGTAATGTTTCTATAGCCCGATTAAATGCCTTTAAACAACGAATATTACCTAGGCTACGTCGAGGTTCAGATCCTCGTGTTCTTATATACGTGACTGATTTCTACGATCTTGAAGAATTGCGCCAAATTTTACTTGCTGAATCTTTGGATTTTTGTTGTATTAATGAGTGGGTTCTTTTAAAATTTTTTTATGTTAATTACCCTGCTGTTAACTAATCTTATTTTACTATTAAGGTGAAAGGTAAGCTTGCTTCTCTCCAGGTGTTCAGGGAGTATCATACCCTTCTTCCACATTACGATGTGAAGTTGGATATTTTTGTGTAATATATTCGACTTTCAACCTCAGTAAGCTGAAGGTTCAAACCCTGTTTTGTTTACCCTGGTTTGGGTAGCTTTACAATATCAGTAGCCCTCATTAAAAATGCGTGGATTAATGTTGGATACTGTACTAGGCAAATAATCTACATAGTTACTAATGCCTTATGATATTACGTAGGAGGTAGTCTCAAAGCATTTTTTACACAATATAAACACTTATCACTATTTACCGTATAAATTTTCAAGTGGATGTTTTGCCCTATCCTTTTAGCTTGTTAATTAAATGAAGTAAAAGGTGGCGAACAACTTAGTAGTCAGTTTCTTATCATCGTCAACAGGCTTACAAAATGGTCTCAACTACCTCACACATTACCATTTCCATTTAAACCTACCATTAAAAATGCTAGAAACATCGTTAAACTGAATTGTATAGCGATAATGTAGACTTGTTCTATAGAGAGTGAATGGACAATGTCATTTTACTCTGCGATACAGTGTAAACTTACCAAGTCCCAGAGTATGTGGGTGTTATGTAGTTAACACTATTCAAGTGAAATGTACATATGAAACGGACTTTTGTTTGGATTCACTTTTAATAGTCAACTTATAGAAGTGATCAAACTATTCGTGTATCTGACCAGTTTTAAAAGTGCTACTGAGAGTATAGCAGAAAAATATCAGTTTACTTATTATCAGTATAAGGTTGTGGAGGTTGTTCAGTTTTAATTGAGACCACGAACCGATCAATGTTAGACCACCATTGAAAGCCTGGAAGCACTGGACGGTCGTTTCGTCCAGGTATGGGATTCCTTGTAAAAGTCTGATTAGTATATACTGATGTAGGTCATTTTGGAAACAAAACCATCAGTTTACATTATCATGACAGTAGCAGCTCTATAAGTTAGCAAAACTTAATCTCGTTGAGATAAAGGTGTTTGATTATTCACAACATATACGTAAGTCGTCCTAAGCTCACATCTTGCATATGTATAGATCATGTTTTTAAGTATATTTGTTATTTTATAGCTGAATAAACATATTTCTGTTACCACAGCTACCCTATCAATCATTATTTATTTAAAAATTTTATACGTAGTAGAATCTTTTAGTTAAATGAGTAGATAGCCTAAACAAAACAAAACGTCAGTCTATCACTTTAAGGAGGTGAAAACTTTATCATCGGTGAAACGGTCTTAATTATTTTAAAGTGGTGTTCAACATATTAGCGTGCACGAGCATAAATATGTTGACAGACAGTTCCCATTTAAACATTAAAATTAAAACACGAAGTTCAGCGAAGGGATCTCGTTTCAACGAATTTATTATCAAGCTGTACAATCGTATATATATGAAAATTTTTGTTTTTGTAAAAGCACTAATTCCGTGAGGAAATGTGATATAGTATTATGACCTTTTTATTAACTGTGTTCACATTTCCTCACGGAATTAGTACTTTTACACCTTGATAATAAATTCGTTGAAAAGAGATCCCTTCGCATAAATGTGTTGCCAAATATTTTTATTCGGTTTGTATATCTCGTATTTTCGTTGAAGTACCTGAGTGCACCAGCCACTTCACTTACCTTAGACGTCTCAGGTCTGGTAGATTGGTGTCTGGCGAAATCTGGGCTCGGATTCAGAAGGGTCGGTTGGGGTTTGACAATTTGTATCACTTGTGGCATAGGCAAGATATCCGTCTTCCAAGCAAAGGGCTTTTATACTGTTCATAAGTTCCCCCTTTTCTACTTTATGGGTATGAAACATGGCCTTTACTAGTATTTGATCGTAGGTCCCTTAAAAGCATTGCTCGCGTATGGTGAGATGACCGAAAAAGTACTGTCGGGGCTAGATATAGGACATTTTGCAGCTCAGACCAACGCACATATCTGTGCCCAGACCCTATGTGATTGATATATTTGTCTCTGTTGCATTACTGTAGCTTCAAATTACTTTGCTAGGGTTTTTTACATCTTCCTTCAGATATACAGAAGACTCAGAAGCTGAACGATTTCGTACCTTGTTTGGTGATGGTCGTATTCGTATTTTGTTAATAACTGAGCGCTATTACTTCTTTCGAAGGTGAGTACTTACTATTCCTATTATAGCTGGCCAGTATTGATTTTACTGTTCGTTTCTACCATCACTTCACATGTTTTTTCTTCGTACTGTTGTGTTGTATTTCAGTTTAAATTGTACATTTACTGCTTGTTAGGGTCGTTAGATTGTAACGTTAAAACGGTAACTTGAATAACGAAATATGCCTAGTGGTATATCTTAACTCAGTTGAGTGCAATAATTCACTACCATCTCAATGGTTTGTGAATAACGTATACTCTCCTCGGAAATCGAGCATTTTTAGTTAAAATAGTAGTAGGCTCAGGTAAATTATCCCCTGAGATGTTTATGAATGGTGGTCCAGTTTTAGCTTTTAGGTTGAATGAGATTTTAGCTGGAGTTTGAAAACTGGATAGAATCCCATCTGACTGATCATGATCGCTGCAGTCTATGAGAAAGGGAAAAATCCTCTTATGGATAACCACAGAGGAATAAGTTTTGCTAACATAGTGTCTAAAATATTATCCTCAATAATACTCCAGTTCTTAACTAGGGCTTGTGAGAAGCGAACTCGGGAAAACTGGTTTAAGATTTACATGTGGATGTGTGGACAAAGTATTTTCACCTCTCCAGGCTCTGGAGCACAGACATACCTACAGACCCTCAATCATAGTTGTATTTCTCGACCTAATGGCAACATTTGATTCTGTAAATCGATAGGTTTTATGACAGTGTCTTTCATTGAAAGGCGTACCAAACAAGCACATGTTCTCTACTCAAGCATTATTCGTCAAGTTAGAGCTTCTGACGAACTGTCGTCGGAGTTGATAACTTTAAGTGGTGTTCGTTAAGGTTGTCTGCTCTCTCCATTTTTATTTAATTTTGTCATACACATGGTTTTAGAGATAACACTCGTTGTCTAATTTATCAGGAGTCGATCTTCCATCAGGTGGTATAATTCTGTTTGGTGAAGAAACTGAAAATACACTATCTTCTGATCACCTTAAACAAGAATGCTGTTATGTTTGGGATGCACCTCATCATTTAAATGCAAATATTGCTTCAGGGCTGACTAGTTTGTGATAGCAGCTGAACTCATGATATGGAGTGAAGTAGTTAAGTGTGTCGATCACGTCATTTATATCTGAAACCTCAGCACGGATTCAAAAAACCCGGCTGACTTCTGCCAAATTTTCATTCGTGACGTAAGGTAAATATCGGTTTCCCAACGAAAGGACGAGTTCACCACGCAGCAGTTCGCTCTGTTCTTCTTTACAAATGTCAGACATAGCTTTAGAATTAGGGTATTCGTAGGTTACTGGTATACGATCATAGGTGTCTACTAAACATTGCTCGTATATTTCGAGCCACGAGTTAGCAATTATAAGGTTAGACGCAGAATGTTGAGTATGGAAAATCAATTGACGTCGTAGTGAAATAAATAAATGTGAGATTTGCTCTAACAATTTCATCTCAGTGTTAATAAGGTATGGTAACTTAAACCGATGTACTCATATACTAGGTTCTATGGTGCATTTAGCTGACTGATTATCCAATTATATTGATTTTTTATTCCTGAGTACTTATTTTTGCTTATCTTGATGGTATAAACCAAATTACGTTAATTAGAGGTTGATAGTAAATCAAGACTTTTTTTTACTAATAATGTATTATGTGAATGGAACTCTGAGATTCCCTGAAAAGTAAGAAAACAATTCATAATAACCAGAGGCTGCTCAATGGGGATGAATACACGTTTACCCATACGATAGATAATTGTGACATGAGCTAGCCAACAACTATATGGAACAGCCAACTGATCTCATAGAACAAAGGGAAATATCCATATCAAAGGATTTAATCCTCCTAATTGTCTTTCCTTTTTTCTCATTTTTTAAGCAAAAAACAACTGTACACTGAGTGGAGAATTCATAAACGCTAAATTTCGTAGACCAATAAGCAAATGTTCTTTAAATTTGTCATTTATAATCATGAATAATTTGGGTTTGTTAGGTGACCTACTTTTGTTTAGAAAGTAATAAATCTCAGTCGCTTTTCGGAGTCCTACTTAAATAATTGAGGGGAAAAAAGCCACAATGTAGTTACAAAGCCATTAAAGGCTTTTTTCAATTTCTTTTAATATTTTAGTTTATTAATGTAAACTGGAGTCTTGACCGCCTATTTCGTTATATAATAAAAATTAGTTCTTCTAATTGTTTTATATTTATTCTATGAATGCAGGCGGAAAATTCGTGGTCCTCAAACATTTATTTTTTATGGTCCACCAACATTTCCATGGTTTGTCAAGGAATTGTACGATTTCCGACATTCAGAAAGCGAAATACAATACAATATGACTATACTCTATTGTCATCCGATAGAAACTCATACTGTATCTATGATAACTGGTTCAGTAGAATTTTAATAATAATGATACTTTCATGTGCAAATTGTTTGTTTTACTTCAGTACATTTAACCATGGGTAAACTGATTGTATTCGTTTTGGTGAATCTATTTTTATAAGTTCATGAGCATGTAAAGTATATCGTTTCAGAATAAAAGATAATTTTACCGTTTGCTTTTAAGCTATATATATATACCTTGAGGCGGAGATATTGTTATATCTTACGAGATTCATTTCTTCCTAGCTTACGATTAACACATTTCCACACTTTAATAACAATCCAACTATAGTTTACAACCTTTTGTAAGAAAGTAAATCTTCTTCATAATGTACAATAAATCGCTTGTATATCTAAGTGGAAAACGCATTCAACTGTCAATGCGTCAAGTGGTATTCTTCTTTCAATCATTCATATTGAATTTCATAAATTTTTATTATTAGCCTTTGTCTTTGGTAGTATGTGTACTTATAAATATTTAAAACTCATCCTGCTTCAATGGTTATTTCTCTCGGAGGAAGATGTTGAGAATTTGTAGTCATATATTTTTGTTAAACACACAAATAATGAATGATAGTTAATCGTAGACCGCGTGTCATAATTTCGAACCCCTGAAGTGCACACTGATGAGAAATTCCGTATTATAACGAGACATGTCTAGCGCACCCTAATGCCTTTTAATAGTACTTCAACTGAGCTCAATCTGTGACGAATATAACTTACAAATGATGAAATGTTGCTTTGCTTCATTAGTCGTTATTGCCTATTGCATATATGTATAAACATAAATCCAAAATATTTTATACGGTAATGTATTTACGAATTGATCTCGGTTGTTGTAAAATACCAAAACTGATGTGGTAATTTGTTCATTTTACATAAAAGAAAAAAACATTAAAAATTTCGTAGCAGTTGGATTGCTACACTTTTTATTAACACCATTTTAAAAGAAAGTATCAGTTTGTTGCATTAAATGGTTATATTTAGTGGATTTTAATCTATCAAATCATAAGTAGACAGTGATCAAATCTATTTGTAATTAACATTTTACGAACATACGTACCCAGTAATATACGTATCTAACTGAAATCCATGGAATTTGCCCAAATAGTCATTTGTAATCAAAATGATACATGTGCTGCAAATACTTTATGTGTTAAAAGAGTAGTTGTTTCGTTTTAAAAGATAATGAGAGGATGTTATTATTAGAAAACAGAATATATCATATTGAGTGTATATACATAATAGAGTCCTAGTAAACAGTTCAAGTTATCATAGTATCACAGATAAATAAAATAGATAGATATGCATCACAATATTTCTTCTTTTTTTGCATGATAAACAATCATAAGTCAAAGATTTAAAAATCATGAATTTGGAAATAAGTTCGAAATCAGATAAAAATGTCTTCTTTCACATCATATATAAGAAGTAAGATTTCTTAAATTGATAAGGTCAGTATTGAATACTTGAATATAATGCACTTAAAAAAGGTATTTATATCAAAAGTACTAAGAAAAAATATACCAGGCTTAAATGATGAATTTCAGTTATATCTGTTGTCTAATAGCACAATCCACTCTTATATCCTGATTAACTTTTTTAATACTACCAATTCGATTCATTGTACATTCGAAACGTCCAATTGGTTGACAATGAGATTCTTTACAAACTTTCATAAAATTATTATATTCTAGTGATTTGAAACGCCAAGGTATTGAAAATGGTGTTAAATGAGTGACATACTGTGATATAAGAAAACATGAAGAGAAAAAGTTTTCATTAGATTAGTTAATTTGATCAGTAAATAATGCATACAATATAAAGGGATTTGTGGAGACTATAGAATTTCTATATTCTAAATCACGTACTGTTTCTAACTAGGTCACTACTAAAAACGAGGAAGCACTGGATAGTTGTTTCTTTTTAGTGTGGGACTCTTCAGCAATTCGTATCCACGACCCCCCTCCCAAAGTTAGCCGAACTTAGAACTTTCGTTTTCATATGAGACACATTCACTCCTAGATCATTGACCCGGCGCATCCAATGGTATGTCTAAGTTAAATCATTCCAATGTATTACATGTATATCTCCGATTGTCTGTGATGGATCACTATCTGACACCTAACATGATTGAAATCTATTGATCACAGACTCTTACTAGAACCCTAAAATTGCTATTTAAAGCTAGTCACTAGTGTATACATGATTATGCGGAGATTGTGGTTTTTTTCACAGTTTAAATCATGAGATGATCTTAATTAGATGAACAATGAAAATCAGATTCCTTAAATAAATGACTATTTCTGAAAATAGAATCCTTATAGTGTATGATGGTATAGAAGAAAGATTTACATGAAGATCCTCTCCTACTTGAATATGAATCAGCATTCAGCAAAATAACAAACATAAAATATATAGTATAGTAAGCCTTTATTATTACAGTTTATTTGTACAACCTATTTATCCAGGTCACAAGAAAAACCTATTATAGTTTAACATTAACTAATTATTGTAATTTAGACAATCGATTCACTTTTCATAACTGTTTTTGAGTTTGATTGAACATATGTCTGCAGTTTAATATTTATCTATCCTCTCGTTGGTTGTAAACACAGATAATCAGTGAAAACTCTACCCACTTATTGATCACCACTCAGAAAATATACATTCAATTCTTTGGACTCATTTCCTTTCCGGCGGTGCTTGCTCATAGAGTGTTTGTCGAATTAACCAAATAGTAACAACACAAACTCTCTCAATAATTAATATTCTGGTTTCTGCATATTCTTGAGTAAATATTCATAGGACTATTAAAAGAATTGGCCCAAGTCAACAACAAAAAAACCAGTTAACGTGACATTATCCATATATTCGATTCATATTGAAGAATTAACCTGAATAACAGAAATTATTCTTTTTATCTTCCTATATAGATAACGTACAACAATATTTCATGATTCTATAAGTGATTAACATTGCAAATAAAACAATTAAAACTTTTATGTGCACATATGCCAATAAGAGACTGATTAATTGCAGTCCCAATCATCAATGGGAAGATTCAAGTAAACAATACCAATTGAATTTAAACTTCACCCCATTGTACAAGCAAGTAGCTATCAAGACTCAGTAGCTAAGTGTCTGTGTGCTAATGTAGTATGGCAACTCCGACTGATGTACGTACGTACGAAGTCCTACGTTGTTACTGACTGACTGAGCTAAGTGGATAACGCGATGGCGTTGGAAGCGAATGGTACTGGATTCGAGTCCCAGAGTGAACATCAACTCTGAGATGCAGGTACATCCAGCTGACGAGTCCCAGGTAGGACGAAACGCGCGTCCTGGATTCCACTTCTAGCCACTATCTATCTTTGCTTATAATTAAAACTTTTAATCTTAACATTTACAGTTTGTTGTTTATATATGACTAAAAGGGGATGTTTAAACTACTCATCACTCTGTGATGAAACTGTACAAACAAAGAATTGAAAGGATTATAAATACTTGTTTTTAACTTACATCCATCGACCGAATCATTGTTTAAGAGAAAAATTATCTCAGTTTCTTGGATGATCTTTTTAACAACAAAAGAGTTACGAGGCGAACTATGAAATTTTACTATTTCGATATTTTACTGAAACGACAAATAGATGGCTATCTACAATGATCAAACTTATTGGTCAAGGGAAGGAAGAACTTTTCAAAATTTCTTCAGTATATCATTCTCTAATCTTAACCAAAGAAGAAATGGTCTAGTATTCACAATTAAAAATAATTTTAGCGATTAAAAAATTTTCATGTCTTGAAGATGTATAACTTGGATATGTGGTAATCCGAAATATTAGGACGCGGGTGATAACCACTGCCTACACCATAAGGTAACACTGAGTTAGAGATATTTGGAGAATTAAAAAAAACAATAACAATACAGTAACAACGATTAACATACAGCCTTAGTGATTCTATTGTCCAGAAGGTCACCGGTTAAAGATTCAATGGTTTGATTGACAGTATCGTATAATTTGTCCCCGGAACCTGTTTCTAGGACATCATTTTTAGTAATATCCCCAGTAATTTGATGACTATCTTCCAACGAGAGATAGCTATGTGATTTCAGTTGACGATTATAAGGTTGATTCTGACCATTTGAAAAGGAACTACTTAGTGCTAGACGTCTGGATAAGTAAAGTTTTGAAGCACAAATATAGAACCGCATATTAGACAATTCAAATGTTATTGGGTCTTTGCAAAGTAGATTTTGACTGCAGTATGCTTCTGGTGTTATAGTTGAATCTGGGTCAGTGTCCACACAAGTAATGTTTAGACTGAAGATAACGCTAAATTCAAAGTGTGGATAAGAATGAACAACAGAAAAAGTTTTAATTTTGGTTAGGAAGTATGTGGTGAAAAGTTGTATCTTCCTGAAAACAATAGACACAAATGAATGAGCGTCTTTTTTAACTATCTTAGGTCATGGCAGTATAAGGAGCTGAAAAATTTAGGAAATGCATGTAACAGGAGAAAAACTGACCAAGCGTTTGCGTCGGTAGATATATTCAATATGTTTATCAATTGGATTAGAACTATTCGGTACAGCTTACTTACGTACGTCTGTTAACCCTCGTGGAGCATAGGCCACTGAACAGTAATTTCAAACCGTGTCCTGGACTTCACTTTCCAGTCATTCCCAAGTGCTATTCATTCTTTTGGTGTCTGCCTGAAATTCACGACGCACTGTCCTCTTCCATCTCTCTTTTCTTTTTGCCTTGACGATTCCAAGGTAAGGTTTACCTTGTGATACAGTTTGTTGGTCTTCGTAAAATTTGACCTACCCACTTCTAGCGTCTTTTCCCAATTTCTACTTCAACTGGAAGTTGCTTTGTTCTCTGCCATAGTAGGTTATTGCTGATAGTGTCTGTCCAACGGATCCGCAGTATCTTGCATAGATAACGATTTATGAATACTTGTACATCTTTGATGACGGTTGTAGTAGTTCTCTTAGTTTTAGCTCAGTACAAT